TGGAACCATACTTTATCCCTAGTTAAATTTTGTTTTAAATGTGAATTCATTTATTCAGGTTTGTGTATGCCTGTAGTACTGCTTAAAATCACTGGTTGGTTCAAAGAGCAAGCTGGTGGGAGCGGCTGAGATTAAATAACTCCAAGTGCTTGTAAAGCAACCTCAGGATTCATGCCTACCAACTAAGGTAGCTGAGGATGTGTTTGATCTCTTCTAATGCATCCACAAAGATATGCAGGATTCACTGATTGACCCTAACAGTGTTCTGGGCCATCTGAGTCATGGGGGAGCTACTGAAGAAACTGCTGGGTCTCAGTGTTTATCACAAAGACACACTTCTGTGCCGTAACATATTCAAGGGCCGTTTTACTGGCGGTCCTCAAGCCTCTCATGAAAAAGCCTCCGTATGTTTGGTTGAGTGGTCATCGGAGGGTCTGTGCTTGAAGATCTTGGCCCAGCAAACTCAGCTCTACTCACAGGAGAGCCCGAGATGCTTCACCATCCAGGCGGATTCAGAAGTGGACCTTAATACAAGATTTCAGAAACCTTTAACAGTTCTGCAAACATTGAACCATGTTTTAAATTACTTGTTTAACAAAATCATTTTATGTTGACTTTAAAAATAAAATAATGGTGTAGTGGGAGTCATGTCAGCCCAGGGTAATGGAAAGACCTCCAAGCACAGACCCTGCGCTCCCCAGGCTCTTCCAGACCCCATATCACTCCTCCTCATCAAGGAAGGTGCTCGTGGTAAAACAGTGCATTCAGCCAAAAAGCCCGGGTCCCACGGAGCCTTCCAAGGGAGAGCATGGGGCACCTGGAGCAGTGGCAGGGCAGTTACACGGCAAGCTTTGGTCACAGATGTGTGTGGAAAAGAAGGCCTAGACATTTAAAAGAGTCTAAGCCCATGCCCCTCGAGTGTGGTTCTGAGACCACAGTGCTTGTTAGAGAGGCAGTGTCATGGCCCGGACCTGCTGAACCAGGGTCCGCCTGTCACCCATCCCCGGGGATGTGTGCTGCCATGTGAAAAGCCTTGGTACAAGCACTCGTGGTGGAGGTTTGTGGTTCGCTGCACAGTAAACCTACAACCACATATTTAACTCACTAATTTTTGGTCTTCGTGCTTTTATTTGGCAGTTAATCCATTTGACTGCAATTAGCACCAAAAAAAAGAAAAAACGTGTTTTTAAGGGAAAATTAAGTCATTTCCCTGTCGGCAGATGGTTGAAAATTAAAATGTAACTGTATGTAACTATTGCAAAACTGTATATGTTGAACAGCCACCCAAGAATGCCGCTCTTAGAAGTAACACTGACCCCACGGACACCGGAAGGCACAAATCTGTGGAGCACTATTGATATTTATTTCTAAAGTTACTAGTAGCTTTAAGAAGATGATCCCCAGGTATTAATTTAATACAGTCAGCTTCAGAAAGGGCATTTATAGATGAGTGATCTGCATGTGTGTGCATGTGTGTAATATGTATAAAAAATATATAAAGAATTTTTCACCAAGTGAGCAACAATATAATTCATATTTTTAGAACTTGCTGTAAAGTTCTTTGGTTCTCACTTTAAGCAAGACCATGATATCTATATCGTCTGCCTCCAGTACTTGTATCAGCTGTAACAAATTGGCTGGCATTACGTGCTCCCAACATGATTATAAACACAAGCAAATGCTGGCACTGATACTATATAGCGGAATCCAGTTGTAGGTCCGTATTCTTACATTAGAGCTTTCGATCAATCAATATGTATATGTGTACATGTATACAAAGTCACTCACATGCATGTACATTTTAATTGACCAAACCCGCTTGTATTGCTTGTATTGTATACTCACAAGCTCTCCGATGCCCAGGACGGCAAGCTGAGGCACGAGGACGCCACTGCGCTCTGCCGGTGCCCCTCAGAGGGTGTCCCCTGGCAGGACAGACCCCGCCGCGCCCCCAGCCCCACCGCTCCCCCATGGTGGGGCGCTCCGTCTCCTCTCCGCCCTTCCAGCCCCCGAGCTTATCAGCAGGCCGTCATTTTTGTGCGGTGTCGTACTTGTTGTTTGACGAGGGCCTTTCGGTAGTGCACTGGGTGCCTGTCGCCTTGCGCCTGAAGCCCGGCCACGGGGCGCCGCTCTCCTCCGCACTCCCACCATGGGGGCCGCCCTCTCGTTTGCCCTCACCTCATGAGTGGGCCTGGATGGCAAAGAGATGGACGGTCCACTTGATGACAAAGGGGATATGTACAAGGCGACTGGTGAGCAAAATGAAGAGACATGAGAATGAGGCAAATAGTCAAGCTCTCAGACAGTGCTTGGCGACCCACCGGATCAGAGCAGCACGGAGAGGGAAGGGTAGGGGATGGGGAGCCGGGCCGACGCCCTGGGACAGTGGTGCGCAGAGGCAGGAGGCAGAGCAGCCAGACGGGCACACACACAGGCGGGGGCACAGGCAGCAGGAGAGCCGATAGGCACCCGCCACAGCCGGGCGAGGGCTGAGTGACAAGGTGTGAGGATCAGAGGCAAGGGTGACGCCAGAGCCCCAAGAGCCGCTGAGCTTTGTGACGGGGAGAAAATCAAGGTGAGCGATGCGGTGCTGAGACCTGAGGGGCAGCAGCAGGAGGGAGCCATCCTACGTCGGAGAGTCATTTGAAAGAATGGAATTAAGACAGGAAAGACTACTGTCTGTGTGGTCTTGAAATGCAAAGAAAAATGCCCGTATACGCGGCTCACATTGTTAAAGGCACGTTCAACACGGGGCACCAGTGTTCCCTTCCATTTACTTATTTGAAACCAAAATGTTAAATCTCTCATGAACTATGTAATAGCAAGAAGCTAGTCTACAACTGGTTTACTCTCTGCACTCTTTCATAAACATATAAGGAGTTGACCCTTGCAACGCGTCTTTGTTTGCAAAAGAAATAAGTAGAAATTATGGTTGTCTATGACTGATAATAATAACATTCTGTCATTTACTCAGTGCCTACGTTGTATCAGCACAGTGCTAACTGTCATGTGCACATTACTTCATTGGATCCTCACAGTTACCTTGGAGGTGGACATTATTACCCTGAGAGTAATAAGACAACAGTCATGATGTGACTCCACTAAAATCATACAGCTGGCAAATGTCAAGAGACAAGAAGTAATTCAGAGGTCTGACTGCAAGGCCTGTGCTCCTAAACAGAAGACGATTTTAAAGGATGAGTATGTGTGGTGATTTGTCTGCTCTGTTAGTCCAATGCAAAATGCATTTTATTCCCTTTGGCTATATTAAAAATAAGAAGATTTTCCAGATTTTGAAATTTCCATGCATGTAGCTAATGGACATTTTTTTGAAAGTCATCTAAGGAATATCTGCCACAGAGTAATCATGCAAAAATTTGGAATTAATGAATAGATTGATGAACACTCAACTTTAGCAAGAGATTTCCTCCACCCCATGAGCCTACATTTGTTAAGTCCAGACGAGTGATGCCACCGCTGTTCACTGAATCAGAGGGGTCAGAGGCCCATTGCTGACTGATCCCCAGCCTTATTTTAAGCCCAGCCAAACGGCCTGTTGGGAAGACACTCGAGAGGCTAAAACCTGTCGCTCAAGGCGAAGAAAAGATCCCCAGTTGTTATCGGACCACAGAAAGAGGTCTCTCCTTGGAATCAGGCTTTCCTTGTGAGAAACGTTTCCAGATTTAACAGAGGCAGTTACACAGCCTCTCAGTCTCGGCCTCCTGGAGGCGACTCCCTGTAAGGTGGGGCTTCGTCGGTGTTTGCAGAGGGTCGTCTTTCCTGTTTGACCTGCCAGCAGAGTGTCGTTTCATCCTGTGCTCACCCCACACGACAAGCATAAGGCAGCCGGACTCTCAGCAGGTTTCATGAGTGGAAGAGAAATCAAGGCTTGTGAGGGTGGACACATGATTGAGTGAAATCCGAGAGAGGACAGTGAGGAGGCAGCGGGTCAGTGACACTGTGAGGTCACAGCTGGAAAGGACGCGTTCAGGAAACGAGGGCGACGGTCTGCAGATGCCCCGGCTTCATGCCGAGGCGATGGCGTTGGAAAGCCACATGCTGCCCGTTACTGTGAACACTGTCCAAAGTGATGCCCATGTGTCTGTGGTTTTTATTCCCCACCTTCTGCAAATTTTTATTGTGGGATGCTTCAAGTATGTATATGTACATAGCAATTAACTTGAGATTTCTTTTGTCTCATAGTAGATAAGTCTGGATCAGAGTGACTTGGGCTACTAAACTTAGGAAGCAAGTGTTTATATTGAATTCTCCCTATGTCTTGTTTAAAAAAAATCTCTCTTCTTCATTCATATCGCTTCTTAAAAGCTGACCTGCACAGCAGCCCTGGGCTTGAGCTTTCTGCTTGGTACCTTCCCTTAATTCCTCCCATTGGTCAGTTCCCTGGGCCCTGTTTCCTGAAAGATGACTTATAAAATACATATGTCATGATTGTAATGTAACGATGACCTTGGCTAAGTCACTTGCCCTTTAATAACTTACTGGTGCTTTAAGGAAAATGACTCCTTAGGGTCAGGGAAGCCACATTTAGAGGGTTTGAAGCATGAAGTGAGCGATTGCCTACTGCTGATCCCTATGAAGTCTCAACACAAGGGGCTCAGCATTGCGATAGATTTTGTCATGGTGAAGGTATTAAGTCATCCTTTCTCTCTGCTATTAAATGAAGTAGGTTGCACTGCACTGGGCTCTGTGCAGCCGGACCTCGGCCACCTGATGGGACATGGTGTGACTGAGCAGACGGCAAGTGGGCAGACACACCTTCTGGAGTCATGACTACAGAGATGTTTTATTCCAACCAGGGTTCCGTCATTTCCCCATTAACCCTGAAGATCCTTAAAACTTTGAAAATGTGTATTCTTATGCCACACATTAGAAATATAAATATCTTAATGGTTTCTATATGCAGTTGATGTAGCTGACATGAAAAACAGAAAATTTCATAGCCGTAAAGAATAACCCTGTGTTGGTCCCTCTCTCTCCAGCTGTGTCCTGTGGAATCCCAGAGTCCCCAGGAAATGGGTCCTTTTCGGGAAATGAGTTCACGTTGAATAGTGAAGTGGTGTATGAATGTAACAAGGGCTTTAAGCTGGAAGCCGGTCAGCAAGCCACAGCAGTGTGTCAGGAAGACGGACTGTGGAGCAACAAGGGGAAGCCCCCGGCGTGTCAGCGTAAGTGTCCATGCTTGCCTGCCTTCGTGCCCGTGATCAGGCACGGGGCTCATGGTGAGGGCTCTGGCCTCTAAAGCACAGCGACCCCCTCCCTCGGTCTCCTCAGTGTGGCGATATTAGACCCAACCTATTCCGTAGAAAATACACCAGCCGTTTATAGCAGGCTCTGCATTCCTGGGTGTTGGTCAGGCAGAATCAGGTCGGCTCCATCAGTGTCTAGACCGTGTAATTTATACATCCAACCCCAAGAAGGCTGTCCTTTCAGCCTGGGAGGTGAATTTGAGAGGATATGGAGAAATTAAGCCTGGCAAGAGCACTCAACACAAAATCCTACCACATAACTCGGCACACATTCCTCGCCGCCTCCGAGGCAGGCTGTCCCGAGAGTGGTGCTGGCACATGCATGTGTCAGGGATGCTGTGCAGCCATCGATGCCCAGCAAGTGAGTCACTGGCCCGGGAGGTGGGGCATGTTTTCAGCATATAATAATATTCTTAAAAGGGTCAGAAGTTTGGGTCTGTTCTGGAGCTCTAGTCTTTAATAATAATAATAATAATAATAATAATAATAATAATAATGTCCACAGTGCCAAGCCAAAGAGGACAAAGTTCACACACACACACACCTACATGCACACGCATGCACATGCACAATTTGCCCCCAGATTTCCATTGTAGCTCAGTTAAAACTAACTTCAATTGGAAATGGTCTAACCACCTAGTTTCTGAAAATTGAAAACTATATAATATTTCTATATATACAATAATATTTTGACTCTTAAGGTATTTGCAAAATGGATCCTCAGTCTTTAGTTATAAAAATAGTTCACTGACCTATTGTGTGTAGTATTTTTGTTATCTTAAAATGATTGAACTTCTTAGATACGAACATGTAAATGTTTGTGGAATAACCGACAACCCTCCACAGTTTTCATTTTCCTTGCTATCGTTTTCATCTTTTTTTTCTTTTTTCTGCAAATAATTACTGCATTTCCTAAGTTGTTTAGGCACCACTGGGACATTAATATTTCTTATTTTCTATTTAATATAATTACATTTTACCATAAGAAAGTAAAAGTACAAGAAGGTAGGATAATAAAATATATTGATGTGTTTTTAAGTCCAGTCTCTCAAAATAAGAGCTGAACCCCACAGATGGCAGTAACACATACATGTTTTTGGTTGCTTATAATAAGAATAATTTCCTATACATTTAAGACACCACTCATTTTACACATAGCTTCAAGGTCATTAATAATAATGCTTATCATTTTAAAGTTTCTGCTAAGCACCAAATGTTTACCTATACCAAATAGCTCACCTATAAATCTCATCACAACTCTGAAAAGGTAGGACACAGGTGACCTTACAAATTAGGTAAAAGCTACTAATCTGCAGAGTTGGGATTCTAAATTCCACTCTACCTAGAAACTCTGTGTCCTTTTCAGGTCCCAGAATTTCTGCACTCTAGTTAGACATTAAATCAACTGGGAAACTTCAAAAAATGCTAATGTCCAGGGATTCTGAGTTAAGTAGCCTTGGGTAGAAAACAGGCATCAATATTTTCTTTTAATTTTGTGGATTCTGTGCTTAATATGTCACATATATGCTGTGTTTTAAAGAAAAGGCCATTTTAAACTTGTGTACTGTTTGAGAAAGACTTGCTGAATGACAAGGTGACTATATAAATATAATTTTTATTCTCATTATTTTTTAAGACACAGATATTGGGTTTCAGAGTAAGTTAGATTTACAGCACAACTGAGCAGAAAATACAGAAATTCCCCATTTAACCCCTACCTCCCCTCACCTTCCCCATTATCTACATCCCCCACCACCAAATGGTGGTCTATTTATTATGATCAATTAACCTGCCTGGACACATCCCCATCGCCCAGAGCCCACCACCTACAGCAGGGTCCCTCAGCGTCACACAGAGCGGGCTCACTGCCCCGACACCCTCTGGGTCCCCCCCGGGTCCCTGCCGACCCCTGACTTCCTGTCCCCACAGTTGGGCCTTTTCCAGGATGTCACAGAGTTGGTGTCACACAGTGTGTGGCCCCTTCACACTGGCTGCTGTCACTCAGTGATGTGCATTTAAGGCTCCCCCGCGTCCTTCATGGCCTGACAGCTCATTCTTTTCAGCTCTGATACTGTTCCATTGAGCCCATTCACCCACTGAAGGGCATCTGCGTTGCTTCCAAAATTTGGCAGTTATGAATATCAAGGTTATATCCATGCACAGGCTTTGTGTGGACATGTTTCCAGCTCCCCTGGGTAAATGCCGAGGAGCGTGACTGCGGGACGGTAGGTACGAGCATGCTGAGTCCTGTGGGAACCACCTCACTGTCCCCCAAAGAGGCGATGCCGTCCGCATCCCCAGCAGCAGGAGGGACAGTCCCTGCTGCCCACAGCCTCGGCGGCATTTGGGTTAGTTAATATTTGGGGTTTTAGCCACGCCAGTAGGTGTGCAGTGCTACCTCATGGTTTAGCTTGCATTTCTCTAATCATCTGTGGTCTGGAGCATCTTTTCATGCACTTATTTGCTGTCTGTCTGCCTTCTTTGCTGTTGTAGTGTCTATTCAGTTCTTTCACCCAAGGTTTAATCAGGGTGTTCATTTCTGATTGTTGAGCTTTAAGAGCTCTTTACATCTCGGCCTGTGTGTGTGTGTAACTGTATCTGTGTGTCTCAGGCCTCCCTCCACAGCAGTCAGACTCTTTTAAACATATAGAAAACAAAATAGGACGCACCTCTGCTCGGCCATCCCTAGAGTTCTCATGGCAATTAGAATAAAATTCAGGTGCCCTCTTTATCAAAAGTCAAATGTGGGGAGGCCAGCTTGGGACCTGACCACCCCATGCATGCTTCATACACGCAGGTGTTTGCACCACAGAGGCAAGAGCTCCTTGAACACTGGTCCTAGGCCCCTGATGTCTCCCAACATGTATTCCAAAAGCTTCATGTAAGACGCTTAACAGTTGGACAAAATGAAGAATAGGTATACATTCTGTACTTTGCACTTAGGAAGCAAAGCCTTTATGATTACCTTCTAATGAAAAACAAAGTTGGAGCCATAATCCCAACACATAGGGACATTTTTCTTTTTCAATTAAGGCTCTTAGTCAGTAAAGCAAGTTTGTCATTAATAATTTATTAAGGACCTTCTGCATGGCAAGCACCGTGAGTGCTGCACGTGATTGAATGCACTGTAGATACATTTTTGCAAAGCAAGAGTGAGTTCCAGTCATACTAAATAGCTCTGCATGACCTACAAATAGTCCCATCATAGAAACACTGAGATTATTTATAATGTATCTATGTAACTACCAACATATGTGTATGCTTGTCTACATACATGTATGCATGTGTGTGTATTCACATATCATACATTTGTACTTGTATGTGCATATATAACTTGTACACACATGTTTGAGGAAGTTACAGACATACATATATGTGCATATATGCATGTTTGTAAATATTTAACACATTTCATATGAAATGTTCTGGGAGGTGTATATTTATCTGCCTAGTCCCTTAGCAAATGGAACTCATTTATTATTGAGTGGAGCACATGATATGCTTTGCATTTAGTACTTTGACAAACATCATTTTATTCTAAATCATACTGCTGACCCACTGTTAGGAAATCAGTCAGCCAGCTGGCACTGAGTTTCCACTGTGTGCCACGCACTGTTGTAAGCACTGTGCGTGCGTTCAATTTCTGAGTCCTTTAACAAGCCTGTAGTGTACTGTTCACTGTCCCCATAGTACAGACGGGGCTGGAGATGCAGACACGTGAGCCCCAGGCTGCATTTGGTCTGGAGTCTGGATGGAAGCGCCTGTGTGAATGCTGGCCCTGGGTCTGCACTGCCATGCAGCTCACATGCGGCTGCTGCCAAGGGCATATTGCCTACATGGCATTTATGAGGGATTTCAGTCAAGTTGTCGGCAAAGCTGATGAAGAAAGGTGTGGTCTGAATGATCTCAGTGCACACCCATGTTCAAGCTATGAAGACATTAAAAGTCCAGACTGAAGTAAGCCTAAAAAGGAAATTTCGATGTGTGAGTTAATGAGGCTGTTTAAGCTTGTTTACTATAAGCTTTTGGAAAAACCGCAAAGCTGTTCAGTGTCCCAGCTGGCAGGTGCGTGGAGACCCCTGAGCAGGGCCCACTGGTACCAGTGCACCTGGGGCAGACCGGCAGCAGAGCTGGCAGTGGGCCGGCAGCGTGTGGGCTGGTGTGCTGTTGCGGGAGGGCGAGGATCACCGCCGGCCCACGGCCTCTCCCTGTGCCGCGGCGCATCCTCTGGGGACTGAGTGCCCTGGCCCTGGAGTCTGGGTGAGCGGCTTCAGGTTCTCATCCGAGATGCCTTCTGGGGTGCCCGTGCCCTTGTGGGGGTCCGACATGTAAACGATCAAATTTTGTCATTTCCCGTCAGAGGCCGCCTTCAGTTTCAGGGCCATGTTCTGCTCTGTGGTTTTCTGTCTCTCTTACTTTATCTCATTTCTACAAATTCAACATGGCTTGGTCCAGCATTTTGTGTTTTAATTAGAATTGTGAACTAAGGTTCCCTCATAAACTTAAGAAAGACATTTGTGCACTTAAAATTTAAAGAAAGGTAAATGCAAGCTTTGTTTTCCTGTGTTTTTGTTTTATGTGCAGCCCCAGAGTATTAGAGTATGTTAGTTACCATTATTCACATTGAATATCTGAGAAACTCTTCAAGGACAGGTGTTTCTGTTCATTTGGTTCATGGCTGAGTCTCTATAAATATTTGTACAACATATGAATATCATGGCCCCTGTCAAAGATTTGAGGAAATTATTTTTGACACTGTTTTTACAACTACTTTTTAAGTTGCTGCCGTGTAGCCAGAGTGACGTGTGACCATGAGAGCTCTCGCCCTGTTAGGCAGGCTAGTTGGCCCCTTTCCCTCCTGGCATGAGGCTGAGAGGCCCAGGCCAGGCAGGCCGCCGTCTGCTGTCCATGGCCTGGCC